GAAAATCCTTCCCCACGTCATAAGGATCCGTACCTAGCTGAGCTTCATCAAGAAGTTCAGACTGGCTCTTCCTTCGACAGGTAACTTTTCTTATTTAACCGTGGTCGTTTCTTTCTTTGTTGTACGCCGACTCATTTTGCTGACTCAACGTTTGTTTCTTTCCCAGGCAGGGGGTCTTCTCGAAGGAGCCAGGCACCGGTGCCATCCTTTCAGAGGAAGGCTGATGCCCCTTCGTCTTCTGCTCCTACTGCGACTGCCGCATCTGTGCCGACCCCTTCCTCTATGGTCATAGTCCAAGAACCTGCTCCCATTCGTCCTCTGCTTCTGTTTCTGCTCCTCAACTCCTTTCACTGACTGTTGAGGATAATGATATCTCTCCTGAGGATAGTAGGCTACCGCCTCGTAAGAGGAGAGTCGTGGATGCGGAAGGAGAAGGGCCAGTAGCCGTCGACTTGGAAGAAGGTGAACTTATTCTTCGAGAGATGGTCACACTACATGTTGGAGAGAACACCAGACTGGGCTCGAAGGTCCCTCACATGGAGTAGATGAACATGAATGCATCGGATGCGACCCGGGGGGAGACAGTCAAGGGTAGGATGATTAGCGATGAACTCGCACTTTCGAGGCAAGATGAGTCCTCGTCTTCTAGGGGTACAGCGGATGTCCCTTCTTCTTCTAATGGCAGAGAGAAGTCCGTTGCTAAAGAAGACGTCGGATCTGACTCCGATATTGATCTGGACGATTTGAGGATGATCGACGAGGGACTTACTCATCTCGAGGTGAGGTTGGAAGGTGGCTCCAGAACTATTATGATCCCAATGGATCGTAATCTTCTTGTAAATACCAAGGAAGTATTCCCAGCCCTCAGTCCTCTTTGTTCTGAGGTTGAGGGTATGACCCTCGAGATGAAAATGACAGCACTGTGTCGAATAACATTGTTGGTCTTTCTCTTCGGGTAAGTACGACTATCGTCTGTTCTTTTCCTTATTCTTTGGTTTCTTTTGTAAGTTCTAATTCCTTTTCTTTGTTTTGTAGACAGTTATTCTAGAGATTGAGAGTGCTCGAGGAGAGAAGAGACGTAAATATATTTACGTGAAGCTGAAGGACAAGTACATAATGTGCCTTGGGAAGTACCGGAAGCTCCGGTGTCGGCTTCGAGAAGGCGGCAATGTGCAAATTGTGGAGAAATGCAGCGTCCTTGAAGGGATGTTGAGGAGAAAAAAGGAGGAGCTTGAACTTAGCAGGGGCATAGAGGCCTAATGCAGCAATCTCCAAACCCAAGTGGTCCTGCTGCGAGGCCAACTTGAATAGTGCCAGCTCAAGGTGGAGGCTCTTAATGGTGAGGTCGCTGAGAAACAAGAAGAGCTTGATAAGGCGGAGTCTGCTCGATCGGAGGCTCAGAGTAGGGTGGAGTTCCTTGAAGTGGCGAAGCGAACTCTTAGTTTTGAGCGAGAAAATGACTTGTTGACGGCGAGGGCTAAAGAAGAACGACTCGATGAAAGGATTGGGGAGTTGGAAAAAGAGAACTCCGATCTATATGATCAAGTTGCCGCTCTGGAGGCCGAGAAGGCCAAACTTCTTGCACGGCCTTCTTCCTCTACGGCTTATAGATTCCCCAACATTCCTTGCGAGCTGTATGAAGAATGGATCCCTGCCAAGGCCCGATTGGATGTGTTTCATGAGTTTTATGTGGCAGGCTCCATTCCTGCCACGAACTTTGGGGATGCTCGGGTCAAGACTCGTGAGGCTCGGGTTGCTTGCGGCTATAACCCGGCTACGCCTTGCCCTGGCGAAGAAGATAAAGAAGGGGAAGATGTTGTAGATCGCCTTGAGGATGACGCCTGGTACAATTCTATTTATCCTTCGGGCGAGGAGGAAGAGGGCATTGAAGATCGGACCAGTGAAGACGCTGTGGGTCGTGATGGCGATGGCCAACGGTAGTTTATTTCTATAATTTTGTGTATTTTTGGTAGCGTCATCAAGAGCCTTTGTAAGAAACCTTTGCCTATAAATATCAAAGTTGGTTTTTGCTTTCATTTGCGCCTTTCTTATTTGTCGTGGTTTGTTCCTGTACTTTGCGTGTTTTGCTCCGTCATACTTTTGCTGTCGTTCTTTGACTAGTCGTAGTCTTTCGGTTGAATAGCAATGGGCTGAATCACCCCTTTGTCCGTATAGGTCGAGTACGTTTGCGAATCGATCGGTTAGGTTTAAACTTGGTCGGACATAGCTTCTTGTTCGGTTAAGTTTAACCTTCTTATCGAAACGTGGCCGATGGCAGATAGGTGTCATTGAACTTAGTCAAATTTTAACCTCTTCAAATCGCGGACGAGGGCCGGTAGGTGTTGTTCGAACTTGGTCAAATTTTAACCTTTGTTAATCGCGCCGAGGATCGTAGGTGTTTCTCGAGCCGGGTCGAACTTAACCTTTTGTTAATGTGCGGCCGAGGGCCGATAGGCGTGTTTGAGATGGGTCAAACTTAAACTTTTATTAATGTGCTGCCGAGGGTCGATAAGTGGTTTCGAGCTACGCCGAACATAACCTTTTATTAATGTGCGGCCGAGGGCCGATAGGTATTATTCTATCTGGGTCGAACTTAAACTTTCATTAATGTGCGGCCGAGGGCTGATTGGGGTTGTTCGAGCTGGGTTAAACTTAACCTTTTATTAATATGCGGGCGAGGGCCGATAGGTGTTGTTCGAGCTGGGTCGAACTTATCCTTTTATTAATGTGAGGCCGAGGGCCGATAGGTGTTGTTCGAGCTGGGTCAGACTTAACCTTTTCTTAATGGCACGGCTGAGAGCCAACAGGTTTTTCTGATAAACGTAAGTTTCTTATTACTTTGACGTTATTGCTCTGATTACATGATTGGATAAAGATACAAATTTTGGGCATTGGTTAACGTTCCAGTCTCAGTCCCAATCTATCTAGTCCCTTTATTGCTTGACTTGGAGAGTATTGAGGAGTCGGGCAATGAAAGAGAAAAAATAGTCCCACCCTCGCATACTTCGACTCTAAGTGTCCCTTTCGTCGCCTCGTTAAAAACATCCTTGAGAAAATCCTAATGAGACAAAACTCAAGTGAGGGAAAAAGAGTACACGACTTAGGGACACTTCTTCTTTTTAGAAGGAAGTATTTTAGGTGGCTGATGTTCCAATTGTTCGGTAATTGTTTTCCTTCCATTGTCTCTAATTGCAACGAACCCTTGTTTGCTTTGGCTGTAATTTTGTATGGGTCGTCCCAGCTCATTCCCAGTTTTCCTTCCCGTGGGTCTCTTCTCTCTAGAGTTTTGTCTTTGGGTACGTAGTCCCCGACTTTGTGCGGCCTGAATTTTGCTTTCTTGTTGTAACAACGTTTTGCTTGCTGCTTTTGGGTAACCATCCTTATGTATGCCATATCTCTTCATCCGTCGATCTCATCGAGTTCTTGCCTTCTAATCTCATCATTAGTAGTACCGCTTTCATGGGAGTACCTTAGGCTGGGTTCTCTAACTTCGACTGGTATGACATAGACCTGAGAATAGGGTGTCTCTCATGTGCTCGTCTTTGGGATATTTCTATATGCCCATAATACTTTTGGGAGTATTTTCGGCCACAGTCCCTTGGCGTCTTTGAGTTATTTCTTCGTGATGTTTAATATAGACTTCTTGGAGGACTCTGCCTGCCCGTTACCCGTCGGGTGATACGGCGTTGAAAGTATCCTCTTAACATTCCATTTCTCGAAGAATTTGACGGTTTTCTTTTCCATGAACCTGGGTCCGCTGTCGCAACTGATCTCTTTGGGTAGGCAGAATTGGCAGATGATATTTCTCCATGTAAAGGTGATTACCTCTTGTTTGCGTATTTGGTGAACGTTCCTACTTCCACCCATTTAGAGAAATAGTTAGTTAAAACTAGAATGAATCGTACATTACCTCGCTCTGCTGGGAAGGGGCCCACGATATCCATTCCCCACTTGATGAACGGCCATAGAGAAGTGACTGAGTGGAGATGTTCGCCTATTTGGTGAATTATTAGGGCGTTCTTTTGACATTGTTAGCATTTCTTCACGAATTCTGAGGCGTCCTTTTTCATGGTGGGCCAATAGTGCTCGATTGCAGGAGTGAGCACCACAATGGACTTCATGGACTTCCTCGAGGACGCGCTGGGTTTGGTTTGGGCCCAAACATTTTAATAGAGGGTCATCGTATATCCTCTTATATAGGTCGCTATGGAGGAGATAGTATCTGGCTGCTTGCATTCTTAGTTTTTTGGCTTCCTTTTTGTCGTTTGGGAGTGCATCGTCCTGCAAGTAGGCAATAATACGATTGCGCCAATCCCAAGTTAAGCTTACGGATCTTACATTGATTTGGTCTAGCGATGACTTGAGGAGGTGGACTACGCTTTTATCCCCCGGTCGTGATGCTTTTGGTGGCTGCGGCCAATTAGGAGAGGTCGTCTGCTTCAACATTCTGCGCACGCGAGATCTGGTCGATCTGGCATTCGTCGAACTTGGGTAGCAGCTTATAGATCTCGGTCTGATATTTTTAAAACCTTTGTTCTTTGATTTGGAAAGTCCCTATGACTTGTTTGACTACGAGCTGGGAATCACAACGGAGTTTTAACCGCTTCGCCCCATACTTGAGTACTAGCCTCAATCCTGCAATTACAGCCTCATACTCGGCCTCGTTGTTAGTTATATCTGGGCATCTTATGGACTGGAAAATTACTTCGCCGGTAGGGACCTCGAGTATGAGCCCCAGTCCGTATTCAAAAGCGTTGGATGCGACGTCGGTGTATAGGCTGGAGGGGATGTGCACTCATGGGATGTATCTATGGTCATTCTACAATGGCATTGTATGCAGTGGCCTAGTCCATGATGTGGAATGTCTTCTTTAGAGTTATGCCGCCGACCAAGACGGGGAGTGTAGTTTCTCCCGATGTCTGTTCAACTGCGTTATTCAAACCGGTTAGTGTGGTGCAGTGTGTCACTCTCTTGTTCTCGAGTCTCATCTGGGTGAGGACTCAGGGATGGATAATGCACGCCACACTCCCATCGTCCACCAAGATACTTTTGACATCGGTATCTAGAGTGCACAAAGTAATGACGAGAGCGTCATTGTGATGGAAAGTCAAACTGCCGGCATCAGACTTGTCGAAGATGATACTTTCTTCCAGTCTGTCATACCGTTCATGGGTGATAGATTTTTTCAGCTTGTGAGTGATAGTGAATTTGACACCGTTGATGGAGACGTCATCGTTGCCGCCGATAATCATGTTGGTAGTGCGAGTTGGTGACGGTGGCTTCGACAGGCCTTGGCGTTCATGTCCTCTGGCGAAGTTGTTTCTCCCCTTGTCACTCAGCAGCACTTTGAGGTGTCCCTGCTGCAATATGTTCACAACCTCTTGCTTGAGGGCGATGTAGTCTTTTGTCTTGTGCCCGCGCTCCTGGTGAAACTCGCAGAGGGCGTCGGATTTTCTGGTGCTCGGAACAGATCTCATCTTTGACGGCCACTTCACCTCCGTTCTGAGTTTCTCCAGGTCATAGACTATTTTTGTAGGTGACAAACAAAAATTGTGAGCAGATAATAGGGGCCATACCTATCTCATTCCAGTGAGCCCTCATTCTCAGCCTGAATAGGCCTTCATCATAGCGGAAAAAAGGTGGGGGCGGGGGCCCTGACGTATGGCTGATGTCGTTCCATGTTGGATCGTGAGACCGGGTGATCCCTTCTTATATTCTTTCTTCATTATTTCTTAGACTCGGTTTGTACCGAGACGAGCCATCGAGTTGGTCTGTTGAGGTCATCATCGTCTGCTCGGACTTTGGCATAGTAAGCATTGTGGATTTCATCCCAAGTGGTTGGAGGATATTTCATCAACCGGCTCAATAGTTTTCTAGTCACTCTTGAGCCATCTCTACTTAACTCGTTCTGAAAAGTCACGACTGCCATCCCCTCGGACACGTTTGGTAGGGTCATCTTTACCCTGTTGAATCAGGCATGGAAGTCTCTCAGTCCCTCTCCTAAGGACTGCTTGATGGCGAATATGTCGTTTACTCTTGTTTCGGCTTTCTTGGCTCCGGAATGTGCCATTAGAAACTTATCGGCCATTTCGTCGAAGGTTTCTATGGAGCGGGTTGGTAGCTTTGAGTAGCATGTTAATGCCCCCTAAGGGTTTCGCTAAATTTCTTCAGCAAAATATAGGACACTTGTTCCTTAGTGAGCTCGTTGCCTTTCACGGCAATGACAAAATAAGTCAGGTGATCTTCGGGGTCAGTCGTTCTGTCGTATATCCTGAGATACGACGACATTTTAAAGGTCTTTGGTATGGTATGCGGGACTACTTCCTCGCTATACGGGTGCTCTACAAAACTACCGGCGTCCCTCTTTGGTAGTAGCTTAGGGGCGTCGGTATCTTGTCGACTCGTTCTTGGTGTTCTTTCATTTGATCTCTGAGCGCTTTATTTTCACTCTCAATTTCTTCTATCCTCTTTAGAACAGCGACGAGGAGGTTGTCACCTGCATTGTTAGTAACATTGTGGGTTATACCTGGCGTTGCATGGTCTGGTTGGTCGCCCCGTTCGTCTGCTCGTTGCAATAGGTGGCATCTTGTGGTCTCTGTAGTCGTGCATGGTGTGTGCTTGTTAAGCACGCTTACTAGTGTATCAGTAAACCACGCTTCGAGGAGCTTTTTCATGGTCGATGGTGTCACGACCCAAAACTAACCCGGTCACATTTCCAAAACAAAATGATATTTCATCAAAAATTAGATAATAGCCTTTTTCATGCTGAAATTTCGTAAAAGAGATTAATTCAAAAACCAAAATGCGGAAATAAAAGCCCGACATCGGGTGTCACTTAGTCATGAGCAACTACTACAACTGTTCTGAAATATAGCAAGACTACATAGTCTGAGAATACCAAAATACACTAAAGGAAAGATAAAGAAGGAGAAAGGCAGGTCTGCGATCGCCAGGCAGCTACCTCACTATCTCCGATGGAAGTCAGCAACTGGAGTAATCAACAGTCACTACCGTGGCCAGAGATACCTGGATCTGCACACAAGGTGCAGGGGGTAACGTGAGTACACCAGCTCAGTAAGTAACAGGTCCAAACTATGGGCTAACAGGTAGTGACGGAGTAAACCTCAACAGGTAAACAAAATTAAATTGTGCAGTAAAGTAGGCATTCTTTCAATTCAAGTACTTAGCTCAAGCAGTAAAGTAAATACAAATCTGAACAATGTGAAGTATAAAGCTCAGCAGATCTCTACGTGCCAATGCACTGAATTCATGAAAATGTACCATGTGCCTCCACTCTTAAGTGCTCAAACACTCGGTACTGTATATGGCCATCCGGCCCAAGGAAGATCCATCCCGGAATATATACACATCACTGACAACGTCACTCAGTACCGAGGAAGGACATTCCATCCCTATGGAGAAGATCCATCTCCAGGTACAAATACTTCGGACAAGATCCATGTCCAGGGAAGATCCATCCCTCAAAATATCAACTGCGCTCACTGGAGGTGTGTTACAGACTCCGGAGGGGCTCCTACAGCCCAACTGCTATCATAATCATCTACATAACTGCTGCGGCGTGCATTCCGATCCCATAACTATCACCCATAATCAGGCTCTCGGCCTCACTAAGTCATAACTCTCCAGTCTCACACACACAGGCTCACAATGCCATGAAACTAGCCCGAAACAATGATATGATGTGCTAAAATAATAACAACTGAGAATGAGACATGATATGATATGCATGAATAAGACTGAGTACAGAATATCGATGAAACTAATGAATGACAGCAAGAAACGACCACTCAGGTCTCAATAGTATCGGTGTGAAGCCCTAACATGATATTTAGCATGATTTACAGCTCATTTGCTTAGTCACATAGCAGAAACACGGATATCAGCAAGAAAGAGACACTAAGGGGTGCCATGGAATGAACGAGGCCACAATTCTCACGGTGCACGGCCGCCAGCCCATCAATTGGCATGTGCGTCACCTCAATACTAATCATATAGCACATAGTTCGGGGTTTCGGACACTCAGAACCAAGTTTGGAAGTGTTACTTACCTCAAACCAAGCCAAATCCTACTCCGCGATGCCCTTGCCTCTTGAATCGGCCTCCAAACGTCCTGAATCTAACCAAAAGCAATACAATGCAGTCAATATAGGCCAAGGAACCAATTCCACAAGAAAAACAATCAATTTAGACCAAAATCCCGAAATTCACCCAAACCCGGCCCCCGAGCCCACGTCTCGGAATCCGACAAAAATCACAAAACTAGAAAGCCCTTTCACTCACGAGTCTACCCATACCAAATTCATCAAAATTCGACATCAAATGGTCCCTCAAATCCTAAAATCAAACTCTCCAAATCCCAAGCCCTAACCCCTCATTTTCACCTCTAATCTTCACTAATTACATGATTAAACAACGGGAAATCATCACTTATACGAGTATTAGGGCTCAAGCCACTTACCTTGCTGATAAACCCTTGAATTCCTCCTCAAAATCGCTCTCAAAAGCTCCAAAGCCGACTAAAAATGGTGGAAAATGAACTAAAATTCGCAAAGTCCACCTTTTATACATTCTGCCCAGAACTTCCACATCTGCGGTCCTCATGTTGCTTCTGCGATGCCGCACCTGGGAAAATACATCGCAGGTGCGGTTCTCACTTAGGCCCTCAGAACCCACTTCTGCGGTCCAATTCTCGCACCTGCGGCTCCTAGCCAACCTCAGCCTTGGCCGCATTGGCGGCCCCTTCTCCGCTTCTGCGGGCTCACACCTGCGGTCCCCACTCTGCAGGTGCGGTTATGACAGCTGAGTTCAATCTTCAGCATTCCTCAAAATCCAACCTTGATCCGCTAACCATCCGAAATCAACCCGAGGCCCTCGGTACCTGTACCAAACATACCAACAAGTCATATATAAACATACGACCTTAGTCGAACCTTCGGAACACTCAAAACTACATCAAAACAGAAAATCACCCTCGAATTCAAGCTTAAGAACTTCTAAAGTTCTAATTTCCGCAAAGGACGCCGAAACCTATCAAATCACCTCCGAATAACCTGAAATTTCGCACACACATCACAAATGACACTTCGGACCTACTCCAATTTCCGGATTCCATTCCGACCCCGATATCAAATTTTCCACTGCCGACCAAAATCGCCAAATTTCCAACTTTTGCCAATTCAAGCCTAATTCTACCACAGACCTCCAAATCACATTCTGGATGCGCACCTAAGTCCAAAATCACCTAACGGAGCTAACAGAACCATCAGAATTCACATCCGAGATCGTTTACACATGAGTCAACATCTGGTCAACTTTCCAAACTTAAGCCTTCCCAAAAGATACTAAGCGTCTCAATTCCTCTCCGAATCCACTCCAGACCCAAAGCAACTAACCCAACATGTCATAATATAGCTGAAGAACACAAAAGGAAGCAGAAATGGGGAAACAGGGCTATAACTCTCGAAACGACCGGCCGGGTCGTTACATCCTCCCCCTCTTAAACAAATATCCGTCCTCGAACAGGTACCCGAAGCCTCAAGTAGGTGTGGATATCTGCTCCGCATCTCCCGCTCGGTCTCCCAAGTAGCCTCCTCCACGGGCTCACCTCTCCACTGCACTTTCACTGAAGCTATATCCTTTGATCTCAATTTTTGAACCTGCCGCTCCAAAATAGCCACTGGCTCCACATCATAAGTCAAATCACCGTCTAACAGAACCATGCTAAAATCTAAGACATGAGACGGATAGCCGATATACTTCCGGAGCATAGAAACATGAAATACTGGATGCACCCACAACAAGCTAGGTGGCGAAGCAAGCTCATTAGCCACCTCCCCAATCCTCCGAAGCACCTAAAAAGGCCCAATGAACCGAGGGCTCAGCTTGCCCTTCTTCCCAAATCTCATAATACCCTTCATGGGTGAAACCTTCAGTAGAACCTTCTCCCCAACCATATAAGACACATCACGAACCTTTCTGTCAGCATAACTCCTTTTCCTTGACTGCGCTGTACGAAGCCGCTCTTGAATAACCTTCACCTTGTCCAATGCATTGTGAACCAAGTTTGTACCCAAAAGCCTAGCCTCGCCCAGCTCAAACCAAACTATTGGAGATCAACACCGTCTCCCATATAAAGCCTCATACGGAGCCATCTGAATACACGACTGATAACTGTTGTTGTAAGCAAACTCCGCGAGCGGTATTCCCATGAACCCCCAAAATCAATGAAACAAGCACGCAACATGTCCTCCAATATCTGAATAGTGCGCTCGGACTGTCCGTCCGTCTGAGGGTGAAAAGCTGTGCTCAACTCAACCTGAGTACCCAACTCTCGCTGCACGGCCCTCCAAAACTGCGATGTAAACTGAGTACCTCTATTTGAAATGATGGAAACTGGGATACCATGCAGGCGAACAATCTCTCGGATATAAATCTCAGCCAACCGCTCTGAAGAATAGGTAGTACACACAGGAATGAAGTGTGCGGACTTGGTCAGCCGATCCACAATTACCCAAATAGCATCAAACTTCCTCAAAGTCCATAGGAGTACAACTACGAAATCCATGGTGATCTACTCCCACTTCCACTCTAGAATCTCTATCTGATGAAGCAAGCCACCCGGTCTCTGATGCTCATATTTCACTTGCTGACAATTGAGGCACCGAGCTACAAACCACACTATATCTTTCTTCATCCTCCTCCACCAATAGTGCTTCCTCAAATCCTAATACATCTTCGCAGCACCCGGATGGATGGAATACCGCGAACTGTGGGCCTCCTCTAGAATCAACTCCTAAAGCCCATCTACATTGGGCACACATAACCGGCCCTGCATCCTCAATACCCCGTCATCACTAATAGTCACATCTCTGGCATCATCATGCAGAACCTTGTCCTTGAGGACAAGAA